TAGTGTGTCGCTGCGCAGAGGCAAGTGTCGTGTCTGTTGCCCTTGCTTCCGCCACTCTCCTCCTGCTGCTTCTGACCTCCCTTGTTGTGCTGCGTCTGTGTGGCTGTCTCTCTCCCCATGCGTGTGTGTGTGCCTCACGGCCTGCGAGACGGACGGGATTGGCAGCGAGTGGACGCCAGTGGCTGCAGCGTCTGTGAGCGTCTGTGAGCGTCTGTGAGTGGCTCAGCGTGGCATCATGGCGAGCATACAAGAAGCTGTGAGTGGCGCTGCTTGGGGCGAAGGCTTGGGGCGCTGCTTGGGGCGAAGGCTTGGCGCTGCTTGGGGCGAAGGCTTGGCGCTGCGTGGTGTCGGAGGCAGAGCGGCCGAGTGGCAAAGCGGCAGACTGGGCGAACCAGGTCAAGCAGTTCACCACTTCACTTTTCAATTTTCACTATCTTCCTGTTTTCTGTGTTCCGTTTTCTTCGGTCTAACATTTTCCGATGGTGCTCACGAGTCTTTGCAAGTGTGCTCCCAGACCCCTCCTCTCAGCATCACCGCATCAGCATCAGCATCAGCATCAGCATCAGCGCATCAGCATCAGCATCAGCATCAGCATCGGCATCAGCATCAGCATCAGCATCAGCATCAGCGCATCAGCATCTGCATCAGCATCTGCATCAGCATCAGCATCTGCATCAGCATCAGCATCTGCATCAGCATCTGCATCAGCATCAGCATCAGCATCAGCGCATCAGCATCAGCATCAGCATCAGCATCAGCATCAGCGCATCAGCATCAGCATCAGCATCAGCATCAGCGCATCAGCATCAGCATCAGCATCAGCGCATCAGCATCAGCATCAGCATCTGCGCGTCAGCATAAACATCAGCGCATCATCATCAGCGCATCAGCATCAGCATCAGCACATCAGCATCAGCGCATCAGCGCATCAGCATCAGCATCAGCATCAGCGCATCAGCATCAGCGCATCAGCATCAGCGCATCAGCATCAGCGCATCAGCATCAGCGCATCAGCATCAGCATCAGCGCATCAGCATCAGCATCAGCACATCAGCATCAGCGCATCAGCATCAGCGCATCAGCATCAGCATCATAGCATCAGCATCAGCATCAGCGCATCAGCATCAGCGCATCAGCATCAGCATCAGCATCAGCGCATCAGCATCATCGCATCAGCATCAGCATCAGCGCATCAGCATCAGCATCAGCATCAGCATCAGCGCATCAGCATGCGCATCAGCATCATCGCATCAGCATCAGCGCATCAGCATCAGCATCAGCATCAGCATCAGCGCATCAGCATCAGCATCAGCATCAGCGCATGATGCAGGGGGGTCGTGAATTGTCATAGGGTGTCGCCGCGCAGAGGCAAGAGTCGTATCTGTTGCTTACAGTCGCCACCTTCTGCTTCTAACCCTCTTGTATGTGTGTGTTTCTCTCCCCATGTGTGTGTGTGTGTGTGTGTGCCTCGTGGCCTGCGAGACGGACAACAATGGCAGCGAGTGGACAGGGCCTGTGCATGTGCGTGTGGGGGAAAGGAGGGAAGGGGGGTGGGGGCGTGCATGTGTGTGTGTGCGTGTTTGCATGCCTGTGAGTGATCCTCTCAGCCTTCAAGCTCTGGAGTGTGGCGGATTGCTCTTTTTGTGAACCTGCCTGCCCATCAGTGGGAACAACACGATTCTACCTCATCCAAGAAAGAGGTAACTTGGAGTGAAGTGAAGATGTTTCACATCCTCACGCCTCTCTTCCTCTTCCTTGCCATCCCTTCTCCCCTCACCTCCAGCACTCACGGGCGGCACGGGCTACAGCAACTCAGGGGTCACCAGCGGCTGCAGCGTGTGCAGTGGCATGGCGAGCACACGAGAGATAGTGAGTGGATCAGGTCAAGCAGTGTCCACTTCACGTTTCACCCTACATGTTCCTGCATTCTGTGCTCCCTTGTCTACCACTTTTCCCACGGTGCTCAAGAGTCTTTGCTGCTGTGCTGCCGTGCGTTCATGCCACTCTTCTCAACTCTCTAACCCCTCCTCTCCTCTCGTCTCCTCTTCTTTGCAGCGGCGCGGTGGTGGTCATGACGAGAGTAACACCTGTAGCAGCAGAAGGGGACGACGAGCAACCTGGATTACGCACAGCAGCAAGGCTTGGGGCGAAGGCTTGGCGCTGGTTGGGGCGAAGGCTTGGCGCTGGTTGGGGCGAAGGCTTGGCGCTGGTTGGGGCGAAGGCTTTGCGCTGGTTGGGGCGATGGCTTGGTGCAGCAGCAAGGGAGCAACATGGAGCAACACGCAGGCGTGGTGCAGGAGGCAGTGCAGCCAAGTGGCACAGCGGCAGACGGAGCATGGTACGTGCCAGGGGGTGCTTGCAGGGGGGGCAGTGTAATGAGTCATAGAGCGTCGCCGCGCAGAGGCAAGAGTCGTGTCTACCACTCGCCACCTGCTGCTTCTAACCCTCCTGTATTGTGCTGCTTCTGTGTGTGTGCCTCTCTCTCCCCGTGTGTGTGTGTGTGCCTCGTGGCCTGCAAGTCGGAGACCAATGGCGGCAGGAGTGGGGAAGTGAAGGCATGGAGCAGGACTGGGAGAGTGACTGGCGGAGCGTGGTACGTGCCAGGGGGTGCTTGCCAGGGGGCCGTGTAGTGAGTCCTAGAGCGTCGCCGCGCAGAGGCAACGGTCGTGTCTGTTGTCCTTGCCTCCGTCACTCGCCCCCTCTTGCTGCTTCTAACCCTCCCTTGTTGCTCTGCTTCTGTCTGCGTGTGCCTCTCCCATCGCTAGTGTGTGCTTTACGGCTTACGAGACGGAGGGGAATGGCAGGGAGTGGACAGGGGGAGACCGATGTGTGGGCTTCGTTGCTACCTGAGACACAGCAGAGGTGTTAGTGAATGCAGCAGCACTGTTGAGTTGTAGCAGCAGTACCAACGTCGCCTTCCCTTTTCAGCCAAGTATGTTTTTCCTCTGAACGCTTTTTCCTTTGTGATGCCAAGCTCTCATCACTTTCACTGCTTTCTCTATTGAAATCCCGCCACTGGTTGGCTTTGGCTCCACTCAGAATCCACAGACCCCTCCCATTGCAGATATCAACAGCACACCACGAGCAACATGGAGAAGCTCGCCTGGAGGCTGGAGCACGGGCCGCCGCAGTGTGCTGCTTGGGCTGAAGGCGTGACTGAGGAGCCGCAGGTTTCGCCAAGGAGGAGGAAGCACTTAGCTGGAACACGGTACGTGCCAGAGGGTGCTTGCTGGGTTTCAACTTCAGCAATGGACACGTTATTGCAACTTCCCCATGTGCGTCCGGGTTCCCTCTGTGTGGTGGTTGCCTGGTAGTGGTTGTGTTCTTGTCTAGGCTTTAATCGTCGCCCTTCATCCTTTTCCTTATTTGCTCGTTCTCTCTTCCCCCCCTTCCTCCCCTCTACTTGTCGCATTGCTGCTTCTGGCAACAACTGCAGCGGAAGCAGTGGCACCATCAGCACTGCTGCTTATTCTACATGGTACATGTGGGAGATTCTGGGGTGGAAGTTGCTAACATACATTTCTCACTTGGTGCCTTTTAACAGCTTCACTTGTGTGGTGTTGTGCGCTTTTGCAGCTTGCAAGTGCCCCCCTGCTCCAATTCCTCTTTCTTACATATCTCATAAGTGGCTCTTGTGGTGATGTTCACGGCGAGGCGGGTAGCAGACATGTGGGCCGAGGCAGTATGGCGGTTTACCACCAAGAGGTCAAGACAAACTGCTGCTGTGCTTAGTCGTGCTTCACTGGGCTTAGTCGTGTCTAGCTGTGCTTAGGTAGATGTGTTGTGCTGTGCTGGGATGGGCCTGCATGCATGTTGTAGAATAGGTGGGTGGGGTCTGGAAGGTGCCTGTTTGGGCACAACCCAAGCAGGACAGAGTGCAATCAGCAGGACTATGAGAGAGGTGGAGCGGGCATGAGAGGCACGCACCGTGATGAGAAGGTGGAGCTGCAGGGCACGCACCACACACAAGCAGCATGCAGCTTGCATGCACAGGTACTGAACAAGCCCACCAGCCAAATACCCCGCCAAAACAACCATCCAGCCAAGTATGCAGCCAACCAGCCTACCAACCAACCAGCATTCATGACAACCACCGGTATTCACACAGCAAAATAATGAACTTCGCACACAAACAAGAAGCTCTGAACAAAGACCCACTGAATTGAGTTGGAATCAAAGCACCGAATGCCCTGACACGGCTAGTGTGTAAAGCTACGCCCAGCCTTTGAGAAGGAATTTTTCTTACGTATATTTCACGTCTAATCAGATCCGTTCATAACTTAGATGACCCAATGCTGCTGCTGTACAAATGGCGTAGTAGGGGAGCTGAATTACTATAGCTAGTCTGTCGAAATCGAGCACTTCCGAACACGCTGATTGGACAACCGTGCACGTCGCACCCACTTCGGGGAAGGGTGCCACGGTCATTCATCTATGTACCTTTGGGCATTACTTCACCGCTTTCAAACGCAGCGCAACATACAGAACCGTGGTGCTACCTCCGCAGATACCAATGTCAGCCCGTGAGGGCCGTGGCTGGTGCAGATGAGTGTATCCATGCGCCCCATACTACTGTAGTCATGTGGAGCACGGCTGCACAGTTTTGACTCCGCGCCGCGTAAGTTAGCATCTATGTTTTTCCTCACACTAAGCTCCCAAGCGGTGCAATTTAGCCCAACTCTTAGTGCGCGCGTTACTTTTATGTTGCGAAGAGGGCATTATTCGCTTCTGCGCGGTGCGTTCCTCGCGTAGCTTCGGCATTCTTAGGGTTCGCCACGCTGCGAGATCTACGTGCGACGCGACGAGCCACGTGGTTTGTCGTGTCCTCCTCGTTATTACGTGCTCCCTGTCGCCGTAGGCACTTCCCGATCACCGCTTCAGCGTACTCCCGCTTTTAAGCGCCAGATCCGGCGCATTCCGCCTGCCGTCGCTTTCGCGCGGATCGCGCTCTCCCGAACCCACATTGGCGCGCTTACTCGTTCTTAAGCTACCGCGCCGCCATGGCCAGCAGCGGCGGTGGCGGGGGGAGCGGCGGGAGCGGCGGAGGCAGTGCGCGGTCCGTGCGGGAGCTGAAGAGCATGTTCGGCAAGGCCGCCGCCGCGCCGTCCGCCGCCGCCTACGTCAGCAAGCTGCAGGCCGTCACGGCTAGGGACCAGCCCTCCGGACAAGTCGGCGGGAAACAGGCGGAGGATTCCCCGCTTTCCGCCGCGCAGCAGGCGCTCCGCTCCCCCTCCCCGCTGGCGCTTCCCGTCCAGCGGGACAAGGGGAATCCTCCCAGCGGCGCACTTCCGCCGAACGCGCGTTCCGCGTCTCCTTCCCCCGTCCCCGCGCGCACCATTCTCACCACCCCCGGGCAGGCCGCGCCCCGCCCTTCCCATTCCGCACAACCTGACGTCAGCAAGGCTGCAGCCGGTGCAGACGAGCGGGGGGGCGGCGGAGGGGCAGGGGGGAGGGAGCAGGGGACGGCGAGTCATGCGGCTGCGGCGCACACGCAGGTATTGATGGGAAGAATACTCGGGAGAATCCTTTTTAGCAGGCAGAGTGGGAAACCGCCCGTGTCTTTGCTCGCATCACGCTCGTTGCTCTCTGAACCCCGCACCCCCACCTTTCTGCACCAGCTGAGCGCGGAGCAGGCGGGGCGGTTGAAGCAGGTAGAGGAGAGCCTCGAGGCGACCAACTACGAGCTGACCCCCTGCCCATTCCGCCTCACAGCTCCTCTTCCGACTCTTCTCCCTTCCCCCCCTCCAACCACCACCCGCGCCCCTTCCCGCCACCAGCTGAGCGCGGAGCAGGCGGGGCGGCTGAAGCAGGTGGAGGAGAGTCTCGAGGCGACCAACTATGAGCTGGCGGCGCTGCGGGCGAAGCACAACGAGAAGACGGCGCGACTCAAAGCGCTGCAGGAGAGCAACGTGACTCTGGAGCACAAGGCCAAGGGGCTGCAGGTGAGACACGTGGCGTACTGCAGGGAGGACACGTGGCATGCTGCAGGAGAGCAACGTGACGCTCGAACACAAGGCCAAGGGGCTGCAGGTGAGAGAGATACGTGATTGGCTGCGGGTGAGTTAGCCACGTGGCGGGCTGCAGATGAGCCACGTGGCTTTCTGAGTGTAGTGTTTTCTGGAGTGCATGGGGCCCCTCCCAACCCACCCACACTACACACTCTGCTCCCATCCACCCACCCGCCTTGCCAGGCAACGTTAACGGCAGCAGAAGCAGAGATCGCTGGGTTCGAGGAGAAGGAGGCGCTGCGGCGGCGGGTGGAGGAGGAGGAGGCGGGGAAGTGTTCATGAGGCGCCTCATCAAACTGTATTTACACTCTCCTCCCATCCCACTTCCCGTTCCCCCCTGTGCCAGGCAACGTTAACGGCAGCAGAAGCAGAGATCGCTGGGTTCGAGGAGGAGAAGGAGGCGCTGCGGCGACGCGTGGAGGAGGAGGAGGCGGTGAAGCGAGAGGCAGCCGTGCGGAGCGCCTTGGAGCGGCAGCAGGAGGAGCGAATCGCCCCGCTGCAGTCTGCACTACAGACGCTGGATGCCGCCCATGAGGGGGCGATGAAGGAGCTGGTGCTGCTAAGAGAGTCCTTTAAAGCGGCGGTGGAAGAGGGTAAGTATTTAAGAGCTAGGCAGGCAGAGGGAGAGGTGCAAGTGGTTGAGCTTAGGGCCATGCAGGAGGTGGTTTTGGGGGATTTGGATTCACTGAGAGGTCGGCATGAGAGTGTGTGTAAGGAGCTTGAGGAGGAGAAGGAGGCGAGGGAGAGGGAGAGGAAGGAAGGGAAGGAGGCGAGGGAGCGGGCGGAGAGGTTAGACATGGAGAAAGCGAAGTGGGGGGGGAAGATGGAGGAGGAGAAGAGGATGAGGGAGGAACTGGAGGGGGAGGTGGAGAGAGAGAGGAGGGAGCGAGCAGAGGTAGAGGGGAGGTTGGAGGCAGTACGGGAGGAGAGAGAGGCGGAGAAGAAGGCTAGGGAGGAGGTGCAGGGTGTGTGTGAGGGACTGAAGAAGGATGTAGAGCGGTTGGAGGGAGAAGCGGAGGCGTTGAAAGCAGGGAGGGACGAGACTGGACGGCTGTTGGCAGGGGCAGAGGCGGAGAGGGAGGAGGAGGCGAAGATAGCCAAGAGAGTGAGGGAGGAGAAGGAAGAGAAGGAGAAACAGCTGGGAGAGTTGAGAGAAGAGCATGGGAGAACGCAGGGGGAGCTGGAGGCACTGCGGGTGCAGTATAGGAGCAAGGAGGTTGCGTTTGATACGTTGGTGGTGAGTCATGGAGCCATGGGCGCTGCTGTGGAGGCTATGAGAGGCGAGATGGAGGAGAAGGCTCGGCAGGCGGAGGTCTCTGCGAAGGCTGCGGACGAGGCTCGGCAGCAGATGCTGGAGGCTCGGGAGGAGCTTGGGAAGGTGCAGGGGGAACTGGAGAAGGTGGTAAGTGAGGTGGAGAGAGTGAGGGAGGAGGGGAGGGAGAGGGAGAGGGAGATGGGGGAGATGAAGGAGAGGCATGAGAGGGAGGTGGCTGAGAGGGAAGAAGAGGTGGAGAGACAGCTGGGTGCGTTGAGGAGTGAGTTGGAGGAGAGTAGGAAGAAAAGAGAGGAGGCTGAGACGCGGGAGGGGGAAGTGAGAAAGGCAAGGGAGGAGGTGGAGAGGGCGAGGGAGGAGGAGGAGAGGGAGAGGAGGAAAGCAGAGGAGGAGGTGAGGAGGTTGGAGGAGGAGGTGGAGAGGGAGAGGGAGGAGCGGAGGAGTGAGGTGGAGGAGTTGAGGGGAGCACAGGAGCAGCTGGAGGAGAAGAGAGGGGAGGCTGAGGGTGAAGTGAAGAGGATGACTGAGGAGGTTGAGAGGGTGAAGGGGGAGTGTGAGGAGAGGAGGAAAGAGGGTGAAGAGAGGAGCAGGGAAGTGGAGGAGAAGTGTGAGGAAGTGAGGGTGGTGAAGGGTGAGTTGGAGGAGTTAAACAGGGAGATGGAGGGACTGAGGGAGAAATTGGCAGAGAGGGAGAGGGACTTGGAACGAATGAGGGGGGAGCTGGAGGCAGTGAGAGGGGAGAGGGAGGAGGCGAGGAAGAGAGAGGAGGAGCTGAGAGGACAGCTGGAAGCAGCAAAGGTGGAAGCTTCCAGGAAGGAGGCGGAGCTGCTGGTGCGAGTGGAAGAGGCAGGGAAGGGGAGAGAGGCGGCAGAGAGGGATGGGGAGGAGAGGGGGATGGAGAGGGATGAGATTAAGGAGGCTCTGTGGGTGGAGAAGGGGAAGGTGGAGGTGGGGGAGGAGAGAGTGAGGGGGTTAGAGAGGGAGATGGAGGAGGTGAGGAAGGGGAGGGAAGAGATGGGCGAGAGGGTGGGGCAGCTGGAGAAGCGATTGGAGGAGGCTGGTGCTGAGCTGGCAGCGGCGCAGGCTGATGTGGCGAAGCGTGTGGATGAGGTGGCACGGCTGAAAGCTGAGGTGGACTCAAAGGGGGTTGAGCTGGATGGGGTGAGGAAAGAGTTGGAGAAGGAGAAAGAGCAGCACAGAGAGACACGGAAGGGCCTGGAGGGGATAAGAGAAGAACACAGGGAGGCAAAGGAGGAAGTAGCGAGGCTTAAGGAGCAGCTTGCAGGGATCGGGGGCGAGAAGAAGGCTTTAGGAAACGCACACACGAAGCTAGAGGAGGAGGTGAAGGAACTGCGTGGAAGGTGGGAGGAGGTGATGAGGGAGAGGGAGGAGGAGAGGGTCAAACATGCCGGTGTGGTGGTGCGGTTGGAGGGGGTGCAGAGGGATGTGGAGGAGGCGCGAGGGAGAGAGGAGGAGAAGAAGAGAGAGGTGGAGGGGTTGCAAGAGAGAGTGAGTGAGGCAGAGAGGGAGGTTGTCGGATGGAAGGGGAAGTGTACTGAGCTGGAAGAGGGGATGAGCCGGGTCAGTGCCAAGCTGGCAAAGGTAGAGGCTGAGCTGGCAGCTTCGCTGGCGGCTGCTCAATTGGCAACTGTAGAGGTGGCGGGGGTGAGGGAAGAGGCCAGGTTGGCTCGGTCCGAGGCTGATCAGCTTCGGGAAGAAGTGGCTCGGCAGACAGCCAAGGCTGAGGCTCGGGAAGAGGCGCAGAGGGTTTGGGAGGAGAAGCATAGGGAGGCAGTGGCAGAAGGAGAGGTGAGGAAGCAGGAAGCAGAGAAGGTGGCTGCTGACGCAGACAAGATGCAAGCTGAGCTGGCGGTGATGATGGGTGAGGTGGCAGCTGTGTCAGCCGCGCTGTCAGCTGCAAAGGCTGAGAGTGAGGCGGCAAGGAAAAAGCAGGAGGCGGCGGAGAGGGAGGTGCAAGTGGTGCAGGTACAACTGAGAGATGCTCAGAGGGAATTGGAGGAGGCGAAGCGAGGGGTGGTGGAGGCTAGGAGCGTGGGGGACGGGGAAAAGGGACGAGCAGAAACAGCCATGAGGCAAGCTGCAGAGGCGTGGGAGGAGGTGGGGCGGTGGAAGGGAGAGGCCGAGCGGAGCAAAACCGATGTTGAGTTGCTAGAGAGGGAGGTGAAGGGGAGGGAGGGGCGGATTGAGGAGCTTAGGAGGGAGGTGAGAGAGAGGGAGAGTGAGGTGGTGGAGTTGCAGCAGGAGATGGAGAGAGTGAGAAAGGAGATGGAAGAAGTGAGTGTGAGAGAGGAGGAGTTGGCCGCGACAGTGAATAGGGTGATTGGGGAGGAGCAGGGGAAGGTGGCTGCGGCTGAAGAGAGAGTGAGGGAGGTGGGAGGGGAGAAAGAGAAGATGGAGGAGAGAGTGAGAGAGGCTGTTGGGGAAAAGGAGAAGCTTGAGGAGAGAGTGAGGGAGGTGGAGGGGGAAGTGGAGAGAGTGAAGGGGGAGAGGGTGAGGATGGAAGAGGAGGTGGTGAGTGTGAGGGAGAGAGCAGGGGAGGTGGAGAGGGAAGTGGAAGAGTTGAGAAAGGAGAGGGATGAGCGGAGCAAAGAAGTTGACGAGTTAAATGCCAGCCTGGCAGCGCTCCGTGCTGAGCTGGCATTCGTCCTATCCGAGCTGGAAAGCCGGAATGCTGAGGTGGAAAAGGTGCGATCTGATCTGGCAGCAGCAACCGGAGATTTGGAGAAGGAAAAGGCAGCAGGGGCAGTGGTAGCAGCAGAGATGGAGGGACTGAAATCCCTGCATGCTCTGCTGCAGGAGGAACATGGGCGAGTGGTATCAGAGCAGGATCGGCTGGTGGGGGCGTACGAGAGGGAAGTGCAGGAGAAGGACGAGGTGAAGGCAGAAAAAGCAGCACTCGCTGCTAAGGTTGCCGAGGCAGAGGTACGGACCGAAGCTGTGAAGGAGGAACTGGCTCGGGCGGTTGCCGAGGCTGAGGAGGCTCGGGAAAAGGTGAAGGCTGAAGCTGAGGAGGCTCGGCAGGAGCTGGTTCGGAGGGAGGAGGAGGTGCGGGTGTTGAGGGAGCAGAAGAAAGAGGAGGTTGAAACGTTGAAGCAGCAGCAGCAAGAGCAGCAGCAAATGCAGCAGCAGGAGCAGGAGAAAGAGATTCAAGCGTTGAAAAAGGAGGTGGAGGAGTTGAAGCAGCACCAGGCTGTGGGTGTGGAGGATGTAAACATGTGGAAGACAGCTAATGAAGTGCAAGTTGCTGAGCTGGCAACAGTCAAGGCTGAGCTGGAAACTGCCCATGCTGCGCTGGCAGAAATGAAGATTGAGCGCGAGAGTAAAGAGCGTGAGCTGGCAGCAGCTGCTGACGAAGCAAAGGCGAAAGAAGAAGCTGTGAACGAGAAAGAGGAGATATGTAGCAAGCTGACAAATGAGCTGGAATCGCTGAAATCTGAGCTGGAAATTCGTAACGCTGAGCTGGCAGCGCTGACGGTGAAGGATGAGGGGATAGCAGCTGCAATGAGGGAGCAGATGCAGGCTCGGAGTGAGGCGGAGGGGCAGGTGAAAGAAGCTCAAAAGGAGGTGCAGCTGGTGCAGGCTCAGCTGGGGGAGGTGCGATCTGAGTGTGAGGGGCTGAGGGGTGAGAAGGAGAGGCTTGAGAGAGAGGTGGAGGAGGGGAGGAGGGAGGTCGCTGAGAAGGAAAAAGAGGCTGACAGGATGGTGGGGGAGGTGGAGAGAGGGAGGACTGAGGCTGCAAAGGCGGAGGGGAGGGCAGAGGTGCTGCAAGGGATGGTGGCTGCACTGACAGTAGAGCTAGGTGCTCTGAGGAAGGAGCTTCAGGAGGAACGAGAAAAAGCATCTGATCGTGTTGCTGTTGCTGCTGCTGCTGCTGCTGCTGCTGATGTGGCGTCGGCAGCTGCGGTGTCAGAGTCGCTGCGTGCCAGGCTGGCAGCGGCGGAGGAGAGAGAGAAGGAGCTGGAGCGGAGGGTGGAGGAGAGGGAGCAGCAGGTGGTGCGGGGCGTGGGGGAGGGGGAGGCGAAGGCAGGAGCAGCAGTGAGAGCAGCAGAGGAGAGAGCCAAGGAGCTGCAGCGGCAGTTGAGAGAGGAGGAGACGAAGGTGGCAGCAGCGGTGGCAGGGGCGGATACAGCTGCAGCTGAGGTGGAAAGGTTGAAAGCAGAGGTTGGGGAAGTGAGAGGTGCAGTGGAAGCAGCAGAGGGCGAAGTTGAGAAGCTGCGAGGCGAGGTGGAGCGAGCAGAGGAGGAAGGTGAGCTGTTAAGAGGCAAGGTGGAGGCTGCAGAGGGAAAAGTGGAGCAGCTGAGGGGTGAGGTGGAGGCAGCACAGGGTGAAGCAGTGGCTGCGAGAGCACAGGCAGCGGCAGCGCAGCAGGAGGCAGAGACGGTAAGGGCCACACTGCGAAGCACGGAGCAGGAACTCGTCGCAGCGAATACCGATGCAGAGCAGCTGAGGGAGGCGCTGGGGGAGGTGCAGCGGCAGTTGCGTGTTGTGACACGTGTGAAAGAGGCATTGGAGGGGGAGGTGCGGAAGTGGAGAGAGGAGGCGGTGCTGCGGCAGAAGGTGGAGAGCGGGGAGGAGGGTGGGCGGGCTGAGAGACGCGTGATTGGAATGTGGAGGGGCGCTGTTGAGGGCGCTCAGCTGCAGCAGCAGCAGGGGGGACAGGGGCAGGGGGCGCAGCAGGGGAGGCTGACATCGAGCATGTCAGTTGACAACAAGCTGTTGCTTGGGCACCTACCAGATAGCACCCTTGCACGCTCTCTCCTTCCTGCTCCTCCTGCTGAACCTGCCACTGCTGCTCTTTCTAGTGCCACCACTACCAGCAGTGCTGCCCCTGCCACCGCACCTGCAGCAGCAGCAGCAGCAGCAGCAGCAGGGTCCCCAGCAACAACTCTCCCGCCGCGCCCCCCCACTCCAGCCTCCGCCCCGCCCAAGGTCTCCCATGCCTCCCAGCCCGTGCCCCTGCTCGCCCTGCCAGGTGGCGCCTCCCCCAGTAGCACCGCCTCTGGAGTGTCCCTCCCGGGTCCAGCTGCTGGTGATGGCACTGCAGTAGAAGGTGGCTTTAATGCAGACCGTGTTGCTTCTGACGGACTCCCTGCACCTGCAGATGCCCAACAACACGGTCCTACGGTGCGTGAGGGCGACGTGATTGGTGGAGGCGCTTGGGCGGCTGCTGGTTCGTCCGGTTCGCCCGCTGCTGCTGATCCTGTGCCTGCCTTGCCAGTCACCCTTGCACCAGTAACACCTGCACCAGTCACCCCTGCCACTGCACCAGGCCCTCACACCATCCCTCACTCTGCCACATCGTCTCGCACTGGCTCCCACACACCCACGCTCGGCTTCTCCCATTTCATCCATCGCTCAAAGACAGACAATGCCAGGGCGCGCCCCTCATCCGCTGATTTCACTTCCGCAATCAAAGCTGTGCGCCTCGTCTCCGCGTTTCGCAGCCCTGGCACAGGCACCGCCAGCCCTGCAGGCCAGGGAAGCCCGAGCCGGAGCCGTAGGCCGGGGAGCCCTGGTTCGGCAAGTGCAGGGACGAAGGCAAGTGGTAGTGGAGGTGGGACGCTGAGAAGGATTGGTACAGGGATGGTGGGGCGGTGGAGGGGTGGCAGTCAGAGTGCAGGTGGCGCCAGTGGAGGCAGTGGTGTGGAATCTCAGGCTGAGCTGGGGGAGGTTCAGCCTGCACCTGCGCCTCGCACACAGAGTGATGCGCACTAGGCTTGGTGCTTGCCTATCAGTATCTTGTTAGGCTATGGAACCATAGTTACTACGTATAGGTTAGCCTAGAATTGTGTTGTGACTTTGATGGTAGTGTAGTAATAGGGCAGAATCTTGTAGAAACCAATTTGGTTTGGCGTAGTATCTATTGATTTTTAGATGAACTGTTCCTCAGCCGTGCCCCTTGTTTATTCGCAACTATTAACGGATCACTCTCCCAGAGTCCCGCGAAGGCTGGAGGCGGTTCCTGGATTCTGGCCCGCGGTCCGCAAGGCGGCTGGTGACATGGCCACTTTGGCGGGAAGTTTCAACTGACCCTGCTGGGCTGGATTTTACGTGCCGTTGGCGTTCAGCACGTTGAAATCACGCGTTCTTTGGCTGTGCTGTACACGTTTTCATGGGGCGAAGCTTTTTATTTTCCTATCGCAGCTCACGCACCTGCCCGAATGGAACTCAAAGAGCCCATTCACAAGAATTGTTTGTGGATTTGCAAGTCTTCCGCTACACTCCAGCTCCCGAAGTCGTGGAATGTGCTGGTTCAACGTGCGTAGGACAGGAGTTTGCGTCCACTTGACTGAAATCTGTCTCGGTTTCCATTTGGTGCGGGACACAGGCAGGCAGGTAGGCAGTGCCCGCCATTGCAGCCCTGTGCTGGCTCCTTGGCGGCGCAGTTCCCTTGGTTGTGTTGGTTTGGCATGGTGCCTGCTGCTGAACAATCCCCTATGTCCGAGGAGTTGTGCTGCTGGTGGTTCAGTTCAGTGTCTACCATATGCTGCTAAAGCCGGTCATTTACTTGCATCCAAATCACTAGGCCCTAATAGTTCCTACGTTCCAGCTTCAGCCTAGCTAACTCCAAGTTAAGTTTACATTAGTTCGAATAATATTGTTTCGTGATATTCCGATGTTGCTGTGACTGCTTTCGATATGCGTTTTAGGGCCAGACGATTCGACTTCAGCTTAATATGTTGGGTAGATTCCGGATTTTTCCAGCATCCTTTGTCTTATAACCGCTGCAGCTTTTAGCGAGAAATACCCGACGTTACTTTAGCAGCTTCCGTGGCCTCTATTCGTGATTCTAACGAAATTCAGGGAAGACAAGAATAGATTAGGGATGGCTGACGAGCGGCGGCGGCCCATTCGAGTCTACATGGACGGATGCTTTGACATGATGCATTACGGCCACGCTAACGCGCTTCGACAAGCGAAGGCGCTAGGCGACGAGCTCGTGGTCGGAGTCGTTTCAGACGAGGAGATCCTCTTGAATAAGGGCCCTCCCGTCGTGTCGCTTGAAGACAGGTGAGATCGTAGCTTCCCAGGCCGCGAAAAAAAAACTGTGTAGTTCATAAAATAATTATGTATAAAAAAACAAAATCACTGGGGGGAATGGATCCACGTGTATAAGGACCTTCATCATCTCTCCTCCACCCTCGTCAGGTATTTCAAGGACAGGTGAGATTTAGATCCATGGTACCTTGTCCTCGCCGTTGCGCACAGCAGCACGCTGATCTGAAGAAGCCCGCTTAAACCCCTGCTTTGCCCGACCTCTCCGTTTTACACTCACACTCCTCTCCCACCTCCACCCCTAACCTAAAACGCACGCGCACCCGCACTTCCCCTCGTACGGCATCCCACCAGCTTTCCTCCACCACCCCTTCGCCACCGCGTGTTGGGACCTTTCAAACCACTCCTCTCCCCTACTCGCCAATGCAGAATGTGCAGGGAGCGTCTGAAAGTTGAAGCAATTAGAAACATCACTTAGGAACAAATAACCCCTTCTTGTCCCCCTCCCCCCTATAAATCACCTCTCCTAGCACCCTCCACAGCTTCGACTTCATCACCCCGTCTCTTCTCGTCCTCCCACTCCCCTTCTGCACCACCCTTCCCCACTCCCTCCCCCTGCAGAGTGCGCATGGTGCGCGAGGTGAAGTGGGTGGACGAGGTAGTACTGCATAACACCCGCCTTCATGCACCGCCTCTTCACGCACCATCGCGTCGACTTCATCATTCCTCTCTCTGCCTTTCCCCCCTCTTCCCCATTCCCCGTTGTAGAGTGCGCATGGTGCGGGAGGTGAAGTGGGTGGACGAGGTAGTAGTAGGCACGCCGTACTGCATCACCCCCGCCTTCATGCACCGCCTCTTCACGCACCACCGCGTCGACTTCATCATTCACGGCGACGACCCCTGCCTTCTGCCCGACGGCTCCGACGCCTACGCGGAAGCCAAGCAGGCGGGCCGGTACCTCGAGGTGCGGCGCACGGAGGGGATCTCCAGTACGGATATTGTCGGCCGCATGCTGCTCTGCGTGGGCAGTCGAACGGCCGCCACGGAGGCTCAGCAGCAGCAGCAGTCGCTGGAGCGGGAGTTTGCCCACACGGGGTCGCCCTCGCGCTCGCCCTCGGAGCACTGTAACCGCTCTGGATCGCCTCACGCAGGGTCGCCGTCGCTTCCGCCTCGACCTTCCTCTCCGCTCCCACCCCCCGCGATGCTCTCCGCCTCCGCTGTTCCATGCTCGCCCCTGCGACCCTCTCTCCCTCCACCCTCCTCCTCTGCCCTTGCCTCCTCCGCTCCGCACGCATCCTCCCCTTCCCATGCGCCATCTACTGAAGCCGCCTCGTCACCTGCGCATGCCTCTGCCGCTCCCCCCCTCCACCGCGGCTCTCCCCCATCCTCCCCAGCCCACCTGTCCAGCTCCCCCGCGCCCCTCCCCGCGCACTCCCCACTTTCACTAGCGCCCGCGCTACCCTCCTCCCCTTCCTGCGCATCCCTCCCCTCCTCCGCCTCCTCCGGCTCACTCTGGGGGCTCTCCGCCTCCCCCTCCTCCTCCGCCGCCTCCTCCCCCCTGTTCCCCCCGTCGCTCGCGCCCCTCGCCTCCGCGCGCGTGTCGCGCTTTCTCCCCGCCACCTCCACCGTGCTCGAGCTCAGCAGCCACCAGGTAGGTTCGAGGGCGGGGGGGGGGGGGGAGGAGGGTTGCTTGGGGGTGGGGGAGGAAGGGAAAAGTGACTTCTGAGTCGACTCAAAAGTCTCTCCGCCACCTCCACCGTCCTCGAGCTCAGCAGCCACCAGGTAGGTCGGGGCCGCGGGGTGGGTGGGAGGGGGAAATTCGGGTGAGAGGTGACAGACGAAGTGGGTGGCAAAGCGACAGCCTTTTTGGTCTTTCTCTCCGCTGCCTCCTCTCCCTCCCCTCATCACACTCTCCCGTTTTTCTTTTTTCCCCAGTTTCCGCCTTCCCCATTCCCCCTTACCCATTCCCCTTTTCCCCTGTGTCCGCGCGCCAGCCGCGCAGCATAGACCCATCGGCGCGCGTGGTGTACATCGATGGGGCGTTCGACGTCTTCCACAGCGGCCACGTGCAGGTGAGATCCAGCACGTGGGCCACGTGCAGGTGAGGTACGCCACGTGGGCCACGTGCAGGTGAGGTACGCCACGTGGGCCACGTGCAGGTGAGGTAGGCCACGTGGGCCACGTGCAGGTGGGGTACGCCACGTGGGCCACTTGCAGGTGAGGTAGGCCACGTGGGCCACGTGCAGGTAGGGTAGCCCACGTGGGGTCCAGCAAATGCCACGTGCAGGTGGGGTGGGCCACGTGTCCTTTATACCACTGCGTACCTTTCAATAACGTACTAAAGCAAAGCAAATTAGAAGCAAACTGTATTCACCGACCGTTTCCTTCCCCAAACACCCCTCCCACCCCACACAGACGCTACGAGCAGCCAAGGAGCTGGGCACGTTCCTGCTGGTGGGCGTGCACAGCGACGCCACGGTGCGGGCGAACCGAGGGCAGCACCACCCCATCATGGGCATGCACGAGCGCTGCCTCTCGCTGCTCGCCTGCCGCAGCGTCGATGAGGTCGTGCTGGACGCCCCCTGGGTCGTCTCCGACCAACTGGTATGCCCGCCTGTGCTGTGCTTCTGAGTGTGTTGTGTCTCCCACCCGCCTCATGCCCACCCACCTCGTGCCCACCCGCCTCATGCCATTCGCATGCTCCAGACCGCTTGCATCGTCCCCTCCCGCCCCGCGTACTTCCTCTATGCCAGCTATCCTCCGTACATGTTCCAACTGCCCGCTGCTCCTCCTGCATTGCCCCTCTCCGCCACCCCCCTGTGTGTGTGTGTGCATGGATGCGCCATGGCACACACAGATAGCAGCGTACAACATCTGCCTCGTCGTGCACGGCACTGTTGCCGAGTCCAACCCCCTCTGCCAGGTACCCTGCGCTGCCTGCTTCTCTCCTTCCTCCTCTGTCCCATGCCCCATGCCCCATGGGGCAAACCGTCATTTGTTTACTGGATTTCTTGCCACTGACTTATTTTATGTACGTCTCCTCACTCCCTTATGGCACATGCATCCTATGCCTGCCCTTGAGCTCCCTGCCATGCTACTCTTTGCCCCTCGCTTCCCGTCTCCCTCCCCTTCACCCCCCTCTACCCCCAATCCGCGTTTCCACCATCTGCTGCTGGATTGGGTGATGGCAGGGCGAGGAGCAGCGGTACGCGGCAGCGAGGGCGAGGGGCATGGTGAGGCAGGTGGAGAGCGCTGCAGAGACCACCACCACCACCATCGTCACCCGTATTGTCGACAACCACCACGCTTACATTGTAAGAACCACCGCCGTTGCTGCCTGCGTACGGTCCACCATCCCATCACCATCCCATCACCATCCCATCACCATCCCATCACCATCCCATCACCATCCCATCACCATCCCATCACCATCATCACACCACTTGCAATGTGAGGACCACTACCGGTACCTCCGTTACCATAAACGTCACCTGTTGTGTGTGTGTGCTGCCTCTCCATTCCCCCTCATGGCATCTCTGCTACCTCTCGTCCGCTCACTGCCTTGCTGCTACCTCGCTCCCTTATCTCGCAAGTGGCTGCTCTCCCTCCCCCGCCCCTCGCTGCATCGCTGCTGCAGCGCCGGCATGGCAAGAAGGCAGTGAGCCAGCGCGAGTACAGGGAAGCAAAGAGAGCCTGGGCAGCTGTCGCCCGGGCGACCGCCACCACCACTGCCACCACCGCTGCCACCACCCTCCCCTCACTGCCTTGTTACTACCTCTCCCCCTCTCCCCTCACTGCAGCGCCGGCATGCCAAGAAGGCAGTGAGCGAGCGGGAATACATGGAAGCAAAGAGGGCCCGCGCAGCCGTTGCCTCCTGACACTCGCGCCACTTCTGCCCCTCTTCACTGCTGCACCTGCGCTGAAGTGCGCTCATTAGAGTACGGTACCTGGAGAAGAATACTTTAGTTAACCTGCCAGGTTTGTAGTGGTGTAGTGCGGTGCAAGCAGTCTCAGCAGTGGTACCGTAGCTGTGAAAGCGGTGCACCCCCCGAGTCCAGACATGTGTTGGTATCAAAACTGAATGATGGTGTTGTCTGTGGCGTTAAATCCTGGCATCATGGCTCAGTGTACGTATGTTGGCAGCTATTGAACCAAGGGGACAAAAAGGTACCAGACTGCAAACCCAACTGACCATGACACACACCCTGAATACAGTTACACTGAGGGTGCACATCAATTACGATTGTACAAACCAGGTAGCGCATATTTCTGTGGCTGGCTTCTCACAATTACCGTTACCTACCATTGATATGGTGGCCCGTAACAAGCCTCATGTTACGGCAGGAACCATTACAGCAGTGTGATGCGCATGCCTAGTGCTGCTTATCGACAAGGCTGAAGGGCCTCGATGTTAGCTAGTAACTGCAGCTTCTCAGCAAACTCCATCACAAGTTCACAACACAGGGCATGATGTTGCTCCATTATTCTCACGGGTGTCAGGTCAGGCCCCTGGTGCAGAGGCATTAGCTAGTAGTCATTGTTTGTCATGTCAGCAATACTGGTGTCCCTCACAAACCACACTAGCGTAAGTAGAGTTTCCTCCTCTTACCGTGAAAGGGGCCGAGGCATTGCCTAGTAACCATTATGCCGCTACTCTTCCTTATGGTTCGGGCTGAGGGGCTGAGGCATTGCCTAGTAACCGTATCTGGTCAGCAATGGTGGTGTCCCGCACAAACCACACGTGGTCCTCCCCAGGCGGCACGAGGGTTTGGCAGCGCACGTTGACTGGGTTGACCACGCCAGACAAATGGAAGTGGCGCAGCTCCGTTGCTGCGTTCAGCACCACGCCGCCCTTCTGTGGCTCTCGGGCCTCGTGGATAGACACCACCTCGGTCTGGAAAGGGGAGGGATTGGGTTAAACAAGGAAGAAGAGTGATTTGTGATTATGCGATCAGCACCACGCCGCCCTTCTGTGGCTCTCGGGCCTCGTCGATGGAGACCACCTCGGTCTGGAAGGGAAATGGGGGTCACAAGCAAGGGAGTGACAAGCAAGGAGCTGACGGGTGATTAGTGGAATGCGTTGCCACCATGCTGGCCTTTGTGGCTCTCGGGCCTCGTCGATGGACATGACCTCCATATGGAAGGGGAGGGATTGCGGCAAGCCGTAGTGGGAAAAGGGAGTATGGGTAATTTGCACTAAAAGGGGAGCATGAGGGAATGACATATGGAGGAGATGACACGACAGATAGGGGAATGAGGTGATAGGGGGTAGGATGTTTGCTATGGAGCTGATTGTTGATGCGCCTGCAAAAAGACTTTTAAGTCGACTCAAAAGTCACCTTGATGCGGGTTGTAATAGGCTTGGTATGGAGCTTAGTGTTGACCCACCTGCAAAAAGGCTAGCCGTGACTCGTGTAAACTCACTTGTGAGGGCGACTCACCACGAGGGGGCTCACAATCAGCTCCCGTGGCTCGGCCAGACCTCAGACACAGGTCCGGGTCTGCCTCTTGTTTCGTCCCTGAGAGGAGGCACCTTAAAAAATGCGGTTTGAGAGTGAGAGAATGGGGCACCTAGGAGGGAGCAGCCTGAGAGGGCGTCTCACCTTGCGCGGGTTGAGAATGAGTTTCCGATGGCCCCGCCAGTCCTCACACAGGTCTGACTCGATCCGCTGCTGCACCCCTGAGAGGAGGCACTTTAAACGATACGCATACGCCTGAGAGTGAGAGTGAGGCGCCCGAGAGGGGGAATCCTGAGAGGGGTTCTCACCTTGCGGGGGTTGAGAATGAGTTTCCGATGGCCCCGCCAGTTCCCACACAGGTCTGACTCGATCCGCTGCTCCTCCGCGCCGTCGCGCACACACCACACGTCAGGCCGTCGGAACACCAGTCTTGACAGCAGCTCAACGGCACGCCTCTTCGCCTCCTCCACTGCAGCTTCGTCCCACTGCATCTCACCATCCTGCGTGCCGTTCCCTGCTGTGCCCGGCGCTGGTTCCAGGCTCCTGTTACTCGTCTCAGAAGCCCCACCAGCCGCCACAGCAAGACCACCAGCAGTCTGCAGCACAGCAGTTCCAGGCACCACCTGCGCCTCCCCTTGGCACACTGAGGGTTCGACCACAAGTGCCCCGTGGGAGAGCCAGGGGGCGTGGGCGTGCGCGGCGAGCAGCACGTGCAGGGAATGCGGCGGCACGGGCGAGAGGTACTCGTCTGTGTCGTGGAGAGTGACCCAGCGGGATGTGAAGAGCGACCGATGTATGCAGTCGTTGCCTGCAAGGGTCTGGTGGGAGGGGATGGGGTGGGGGGAAAGAGGTGTTGAATGCGGTACTGAGATCGCCCCGTGCTTGTGTGGGCATGGGCGAGAGGTACTCGTCTGTGTCGTGTAGGGTGACCCAGCGGGATGTGAAGAGCGACCGGTATATGCAGTTGCCTGCAAGAGTCTGGTGGTAGGAGGGGGTGTGGAAGAGGGTTGTTGAAGCACTTAGTCCCCTTGTACCTGCCTCCACTACATATATGGATTCATATACACTCCTAAAGGTGAATATGCTTGAAAAACAAGCTCAAAACACCCCCCACCGACCTGGTGTTTGGTGATAAAGCTCAGTGCCCCCTCCCCCGCGTGAAAACCGAACCGCCGCCCTCCCGACATGTCCGTAACGGCCGCCATGCCCGCAGCAAAGTACGGCGCGAAGAGCGCCGTGAGGCCCGGCGACCAGGCAGCCATGTCGTAGAATATGAAGCGGGAGACGTTGGCATAAACACGGTGATACTCCGCCCATGCCCACACCGGCCCCGCGTCCAACGTGCCGTAGAGCGGCTGGGAGCACCACGTGAGGTGCACGGGGAGAGAGGCCTCCGGAGGCGGCTCTAGAGGCTGTGCGGTTGGGGTTGGGGGAGGTGGGCGGAGACAAGCGGGAGGGAATGGGGAGGGGAAGGGGAGGGGGAGGGTAAGGGGAAGGTGAAGGGGAGGGGAGTCAAAAAGTGTGGTGCTGGATGCGAGTTTTTTAGAATCAAATAAAGGAGTGAATCCAATGCTCAATTGGATTAGTTTGCCCCATACCTGCTGTCCTCCACAACATTTCACCTTTCCCCGCATCCCACCTCCCCCGCATCCCACCTCCCCCGCATCCCACCTGTCCCGCATCCCACCTGCCCCAAATCTCACCTCTCCCGGACCCTCATTGAAGACGGCAGCCTCCACACCATCCATGGTCATCACCAGATAGCCGTCCGCCCGAGAGGAGTTGCCTACTAGCTGCCAGAAAAACTTTACCTCCCCTGCATCTCACCTGCCCCGGCTGCTCGTTAAAGACAGCAGACTCCACACCGTCCATGGTCATCACCAGATAGCCGCCTGCCTGGGACGTGTTGCCCCACAGCTGGCAGAACGCTGCTAGCGAGTCAGTCTGTAAGGGGGATGGAAGAAACGGGATGTAGAGGAAAAAAAGCGAGTCTGAGCTTGAATAGATTCGTTATTGGGTCGGTCTGTAGGGGGGACGAGGGTGAGGAGGTGGAGAGGGAAAGGGGAAAGGGCTGGATAGAATATTCGTGACCAAGCGAGCCAATTTGAAACTTGAAGCACCTTAGTTTTGGGGCGCATGAAGTCTCTGTACCACACTGAACCGTTCACTCTGCTGCCATCTCGCCCCACCCATCGGCAGCCCTCCCCCTCCGACACCCACAAGAAATTGAGGCTGCTTATACCGAGTACGACGAAGCGAGAGGGGCTGATGCGGTAGGCGCTGGAGGGATGGAGAAATGGGAGAGGAGTGGTTGGGGGGCAGGGAGGAGAGGATGGGCCGGGTAGGGGGGGGGGAACGAGTGAGTGAGTGAGGAAGGGGAGGAAAATAAGAGGAGGATAAGGCAGGAGAGTGGGACCGTGAACCACAACATACGACATTCTCAGTCCTGTGAAAGCTCATACAAGAAAATGCACAAGCAAAACATCACAGTCGTAACTGATTTTACAGGGCTCAAGCCGGGCGTAACACCCAGCCCTCCCTGCGAGATTACGGCGGTTTCACGAAGGTTCTCGGGTTCGTCCAGATGGACTGGACGCCCCCCTGCCACCTCAGCCCCACTGCCTCAGTTGACTAGGGCCGCTGGTATGGCAGCCGCACCTGAACTCGTAGAGGAATCCTCGCTGCTGGTAGGTTCGTTGCCTCCACTGCCGCGCTTCCGTCTCAAGCACACTCGCTACAGCCACGTCCGACCGGTTTCGCCTGCGCGTCGCTTCCAGGGCCTCCGTGTAGCGCTGCGGACCGCAAGGGCACGCACACACACGGGCACGCACACACACGGGCACGCACACACACGGGCACGCACACACACGGGCACACACACACACGGGCACGCACGCACACGGGCACGCACACACACGGGCTCGCACGCACACGGGCACGCACACACACGGGCACGCACACACACGGGCACGCACGCACACGGGCACGCACACACACGGGCACGCACGCACACGGGCACGCACACACACGGGCACGCACGCACACGGGCACGCACACACACGGGCACGCACGCACACGGGCACGCACACACACGGGCACGCACGCACACGGGCACGGACAGACGCACGAGCAGGCAGGTTCAGAGGCACCCGCACACAGACGCACGAGCAGGCAGGTTCACAGGCACCCGCACACAGACGCACGAGCAGGCAGGTTCACAGGCACCCGCACACAGACGCACGCAGAGGGGGGAGGAGAAAGCATGGGAGTGGATAAGGTTTTTAGACTTCTCAAGAAGCGCTCTCACAATGGAGGGGCGGGGCGGGCCATTCCACCGACCGTTCTCTACCGCTGTCACCTCCGTCCAGTCACACCGCATACCGCACTATCCGCCACACCGCATTACCCGCCAGCCGAATTATCTGCCACACCGCATTACCCACACCGCACTGTCCGCTACACCGCATTATCCGACAGCGCGTCATCACTCACCGATAGTTCCGCCGGAGTCCGCACGTCACCCGGCGCTTCATTCTGCTGTTCCTCCTCGCCGCGCTTCTCTCCGCCAACTCCGTCATCTCTATCGCGCGTCTCTCCGCCATCTCCGCCGTTCCCGCTTCCTGCCTTATGCGCTACTGCCACGGCTTCAAGTGCGGAGCATGGGGCATTGCCGACGCCGGCGGTGCCGTTTGGAGCGGCTTGGTGCGCAGCGACGGAGGAGGGCGAGGAGGAGGAGAGGACGGAGGAGCGGAACCGGAGGAGCGGGGAGGAGCGGGAGAGGAGTAGAGGGGAGAGGAAAGGAGTCAATGCGTCTTGGACTAGGGCCTGATTGACAAGAGACGGACAGGAAGAAGAGGGAAAGGCGTGGTTATTTGAGTCAAGTAAAAATCATTTTGGGTTCTAAAGCAGCCTCGAAGCGTACTATACCAGGACCGAGAGATGATTATTGCGTCGTCCCAAGAATCGTCCTATTACAAAATATTAAGAGTCTCAGATTAGTGAGTGGCGACAGTCATCAACGATGTAGCGCCGCTGATGCGCCGAACCAGCACTCTAGCCAAGGGTGGAGGAGGAAAGTGCAAAAAAACCTCTGGCCCCCAAATGTGGCCTCCTGCCCTTTCCCCACTGCGTGGAAATAGTCGCTCGATGGGAGGCACTGACGTGCGCTTGAGTGCCTCTCGTCGCGATCGAGCAGTGCATCGCCTGGCTATATGCGGCGGGCCGTTTCAGAACTCGATGGCGATCACTATGTAGTTTTAATGTAGCCTATTCGTGGCTTGTATCGGTCCATTGCTCTACTCGGCATGACGTACCCCACACACTAGCAGCGTCATCAGCGCGCCGAGCGTCGCGGCCGCGTGTATGCCCCACCCGTGCTGTGAGCTCTTAAAAGGTGGACACGTCATCATCCTTCGATCCCAGGTCTGGGTTTATGACTTCAGAAGAGGAGCTGTGACTTCTTAGGAATACTACCTAGTAGCGGCTTGAGTGTGAGCTAGTAGCGGCTAGAGTATGAATAACGAGCGTGTCTCAAAGTCTCTCCGTCACAAACTAGTTGTTAAGGCAAAGGGTTAAACACCCCGTCAGCTGCTTACTGGAGAGGTTCTGAAACCACTTGTTCCATCCCCTCTGTCTTACAACAAGAGGGGATCCTAGACAATGGAGCAGTAGGTGCACGAGGGGGCGAAGTGTCTGGGGTCAGACTACTCGTGAGCCGGCAGCACCGAATACCTGCTAGCAGCGCAACGTAGCCGTGCGTGCTTGACATGATCGTACAACGCTGCAAGGTGCGCTTATCGGACTGGTGCCCGACTTCGCAGTAGATCGTGATTCGTCGTGACGTGGCTTGTGTGAAGCAGGCGGTTTGAAAACGACCAAGAGTCGATCGAACAATACCAAGCATTCCTGTCGTGTGGAATCACACCCCACACCACAGAGCATTCGCTTCGCAACAAATTCCGCCACTTCAGAAAGGCGTGGGGTGGGAGAGCTAGCTGGCTGGGAGCATTGTGGAGTGACAATTTGGTGCGTGTCGAGTCGCGGTGTTTTTATAGGATCGAAGCGCGTGTTCAAGAATCGTACGTGGGGCTGGATGGTTGCTGCTTATTTGTCATTGGCGCACGAATGGGGAACGACAGCACCACGATGTCGCACGCTCGTTTGGAGCTTGTCGCATGCTCGGTAACACGGAATATCTCTTTGTACCAAATAACAGAAGCTAATAGAAGCATAGCACCAGTGTACTATCGTGCAAGTGCTCATCTCCTGGCTACAAATGGCTTCACAAAAACGAGGAACACTGTAACTTGCAGAACAAGCAGGCCCAGCTTTTATATTGCAGTGGACACATGAGATTTATAGCAGCGGTCTTGCAACTAGGCTAATGAATTGTTCTTCGAGCAAGAGAGATGCGCTTGTCATGAATCGTCAAAGGCTGCGAACTAGTAAGTCATAGTTGAGGCTGACGGGGGTGGGTAGACCACCACTAGTAGCCGTAGCTTGTCTGCCACTGTAGTGCCCCTCATTAAGAGTACAGTATCCATAGAGTGGTGTAACGTTCCTTAGAGTACAGGGAGAGGGGCTGAGACATTTGCTAGTGCTAGAAATGCATGATGCCGGCGTTGCGGAAGCTAGATTGTAGAAAGAGCAAGACTGGAAGACTTGTACCGAAAATGGTTGAAGCGGAATGAGAGAAATGGAATTGATTGATTGTGAAACCACACAGCAAGGAATTTATCCTGGCAGCTACCCTGCCCATACCCATCCATGCACACCAATAATTGTGCCACCAATAATGGTGACTCCAATACAGGAATACCAATAATTCTACCCCCAGACCTCTAGACTCCAATAATTCTAGCCCTACAATAATTGTACAATTATTGTAGACCCTGAAGTCTTATAAGGAGGACTACAGTAAAATCTAGCAGCATAAATGTTTCGTTATATGTTATATTTCTCAACACTCCCCCTTGCTGTAGATTTTACCGAAGCTGGTTGTGGAGGGATTGCTGTAAACGCCGTTGATTGCGGAGTGAACTAGGGTCACGGCGTTGATTTCGGAGTCACCTTGGGTGATGGCAGCGTTGATCACAGCGAACCGAACGTAGTCGAATAGTTCCGTTGGGATCGCGGCGGACAATGGGGCGGTTTATCGTGTTTGGAATTTCCGTGCAACTGGCGATTGCTGTACTGCACGTTCCGACGCGCAGGTGGTCCCTTCGAACGATCCCTCACACCAAACGCTGCTGCTCCTGCTTCAGTTCCGCACATCCCTCTCAACGGGGTCTCTCCCAAGTGCGTCATTTTCGCTCTCCTAACCACGTCTCTTCCGATCGAGTGTTGCTGCTCCTTCCTCATGCTCGTGAGTTGTTACTCCCTGTCCGATCTGCCTTCCCAGCCGTGTCAACTCCTCCCATCGCCGCCATGGCTGCTGCTGCAGCTTGGAACGTTTTAGGTTTTTTCAGGGCGCAACTTCCACTTTGTCGACCTGTAATTGCAGATCGTCATTTAGCAGCTCCTGCCCCGTCCTTAAGCGCGATGTCTTGTAGCTAGCTGCAGGTCGTCACTAGCGCTTGCCATGTCGCGGCTGGCGCTCGTGGACAGCAGCGCACGTGACGGCCTGCAGCGCCGAATGCGCATTTTTGCGGCTGCGGCCAGATCCGCAACTGCTGCTGCTGTCGCGTTACTCCTTCCTCTGTCGCGCGGCTGCGGTACCCTCCTCTCTTGACGACCTGCGTGCTGCAGCTCCTTGCGCGTAACTGCTGTTCATGGCGCTCTGCGACATCGACGCTTGTGACGGTCGGCAGCAGCGGTTGGCGCACGACTGCAGCAGCATGCGCGCTGCTGCATTATATCGCATGTGGGGGCTTCTGCTGGTGCGCGCCCTCCCCTTGCCATTTCAGACGACATGGCGCTCCTGCAGCACCTCGCGCATGACGCTGCTGCCCTCGTCGCGCGGCTGTCTCTCCTGCTGACGCCCACGACCGCAGCGACGGCTGCACCTGTGGCGAGTTGCAGCACCTGTGGCGCACGGCAACACCTGTGGCACACGGCAACTGCGTACCCGCCCACACACCGCAGTAACTCCTGGCGTCCGGCTTTCTCCTTCCTGCCGAGGTGAGAATGCTTAGTCAAACCAGACTGCTTCACCCATGTTGCCCTGTGATGCTCCCCATACACTCCAGCAGTTACACGGTAGAAGCTGGAGTTGCCGAACTCCATCAGCTGGAGGGTTGCGTATGCCGACGCACTCCAAGTATCCCGAACTCTGCACTCCATGTATGCAGAAATGTCCACTCCAAGTATGCAGTGTTGTGCACTCCAGGTATGTAGAAGTGTCCACACCAGGTATGCAGAAATACCTTCTCCCATGTATATTCTCCGTTCTTCCCTCGCGGTAGTGCCGTTCATCAGCAGTAACCAGTCGTACGATACCGCTCCAGCACGACGGATGACCACCGGCTGCATCCATTCTGCCTTGTGCTACTCCCTCTATACCAGGTGACGTACGGGAGCAGGTGCAACTGGTACACAAGCACCTGGCGGCTGCTCATGCACTGGGCGGCTGCTCTTGCTCCTGGCGGCTGCTTCTACTCCTGGCGGCCGCTCTTGCTCCTGGCGGCTGCTTCTGCTTCTGGCGGCTGCTCCCCCTTACGCCCTGCAGCACCCCTGAAGCCCTGCAACACCGGGCCTGCAGCAGCTCTCCCTGATGCGCAGGCCGCTTGCACTGGTGCAGCTCCAGCACTGGGTGGCAGCGGTATCAGCAGCACCTGTGTCACCTGAGTGAGTGCTCCTGTCAGTGCCTGACTCCAGCTGTCTTCCCTTGTATTTAGTAAGCCTTTGTCCTCTTCTTGTAATTCCCTTTGCCTGTTTGCCTTTTATCTTGGACAATGTTCTTGACTCGTGCTGTCTTGATTCTTCTCCCCCTGAAACCAGTAGGCATGTGAAGTCTTGAGGAATGGCCGCTGCAGTTGGCGAGTGGTGGTGACCAATCAGCAGCAACGACTGTCAAGCAGAATATCTGATGGCTGCTCTTGTTACTAAGTGCAGTAGGTCTTCTCATAATGTTGTGCTGACTCTTGTGATGATGAAAATGAAAAGATGGTTGTGAGATGAAATCCTGATTTGTTACACCCCAAGATACTCCACACCCCACTCCCCCTCGCACTTATGTATTTGTAGGCATGCACATGCGTGAGCATGCTTACATCACCAAACACACAAATGAGATGTGTGGAGTTGCGTGATGCTTTGGTGTCCAGCACTTCTTGAAAAGCCCGGACGTGAGAGTGCAGCTCCAGCAGCTTCAATGTGAGTACTGGGAGACGGTGTGCCATGTGGAACTGGCTGGAGACCGCACAAGAGGCTGCAGGTGAGATATTGCTTTGCTGTGAGGGGCTTGGTGAGATAATCCGCAGCTTGCTGAGCTGTTGGGCAGTATTCCGGCCGCACAACTCCATCACGAATGACCTTCCTCGTCCAATGGTAACGGACGTCCATGTGTTTGATGTGTTGACTCATCTGCTCCCGAGTGGCAAGTGCAATTGCGCTTTGGTTATCCACGAAGATGACGGTAGGTTCGTGTTGTCGAAAACCGAGG